AAGAGGCATGAAACAAATGGGACAGCAACATCACCTCCCAGGGAGCCTGGCCACAGAGGTGCTATTGTGGAGCTGATAATGCTGTAGCATCAGCAGTGGCATCAGTACCCCAGGCAAGTAAGACTTCCCTTCCCCTCACCCATTCCCTCCTACCCTGGGTCTACAGTGGTGAACATATCTTTGCCCTAGCCCCCTCACCAGGTATTCAATGAGATGGCTACACCTCTGTCATAAAGAATTGGTTGGCACATTTTTGGCCTCCCTTGTATAATTCATCCCATGATCTGACCACTCATGAATCATGATGTACACATAACATGCCAGTAAAATCTTTTTACCACAACACACTGCCGGGTGTTCTACAAATTCTCTTATTTTATATGCATGTCCTTGCTAGCTAGTATAATGCTACAATCATGCAGAGTCTTTTGCTTTGATTCTATGCCTGTCTTTCCATTCTGTTTCAGTAAAATCTCTGGTCCCTACTTATTTGTCAACCAAACTCAGTGCTGAAATGGCATGGATTAACTAAGATGGAGACTTCAAGTCTAGGCTGGAAATGCCCCCCCAAATCAATATTTAGGTTGAATCTAATGAACCACTTTTATACATTATGATGGGCTTTTTATCCCATCTTTGCTAGCTACCCTGCAAAGATGGGAAGTTCTCTATATCAGAAATTTCATGGGTATGAACAGCATGATGGCTTTTCTTATTACGAGCTTTCAGAATATTAGATCATGTAGATATTAAGTCCTTTTGTGCACTCTCTGCTTCTTACCAGGCAGAAATAAATGGACTACACATGGGGGAATCCAAGTAATTAGGCAAAATGTGAGTGTCATACATAGCACAGGGATATTAGGTTTTCTTTACTCCGTTTCCTAATGAATTCCTTTCTCATTTAAATTGAATAAGGACCATAAGCTTTCTTAGAAATGTAACCCTATGAATATTTTCAAACCAGGATTTTGTGCCACTTTATCAAGACTTTGAGAACTTCTACACAAGAAATCTCTACATAAGAATACGAGATAACTGGAACCGTCCCATCTGCAGTGTCCCAGGCCCACAGTTTGACCTGATGGAACGTGTTACAGATGACAACAACTGGACATTTAGGTAGGTCAGGCTTAAGGCAGTAAATACTGCTTTCATAAAAATGATTTGTAGTGCCACCCTCAAGGGAAAACAATAATACTGAGCGCACGATACTAGAATTTCCACCACTGTGCTCTCTATAACCTCAATGGAGGCAACAAAACACCAACAGCGCACATCAGCCCTGTTCTAAACACGGGTTGGCCAGAAAGTATGGAAGGGGGCTGAACTGTACTGCAAATGGCTTTTTAAAAAATGTTTAGACACAGGGAAAATCCTAAAGGAGTATTTTGAAGCCACTTCTTACTCAGCTTGAATTTCTGCATGATCAGACAAATACTGGTATAACCCAGTTTATTTTAAACCTTTCCTATGATTGATTACAAACCAGCCTTGCTTAGATATGTAAAAGTAGCCTCTGATTTACAATCATTCATATAAGAAAACTTTTAGTATTTATATTTATGCAGCTTGGAATCAGATTTGCTGCAGCCTAACATTATTGCCTTAAATAGAGATACAAATTAATTACAGTGCAAGTGCATCTGGTTTCTGTTTACAATAGCTCTACATAGACGTTGCAGTTGTTATAGGTCTGATTGTTCTAGGGGTTGATCTAGGTCAGTGGTCCAGTCATTTGAACATGTTGCCTTTCCAAGTTGCATTGCTGCTCCCAGGCAGCAAGTGGCTGCGGAGATCCCTCGGGCCAGGAAATGACCCACAAAAACTTTAGAGATGCACACTGCAATGCCCCAGGGAAACTTTATTCCACATACTTCAGCGTGACATGAAGCAACACAGTAAATTGTACATCTGTAGGGTTGCAGAATAAAACATTTTCCTCTGGGACAAATACAACATCTATTTGCAGCCTAGTGATAACAAAATATTTTGAAGAAGATATTGGATGAAGTTATGGATGAGTTTTATAGTTAATGTTTCAAATTATTAAGATTACATTATACAGTCTTTTTAGTCATTTTCCCAGTGATTGATGCATTGCTGTTCTTCTGATATTGCCTCTCTTAACATCTCTTCATGTAAGCCAAGCCAGTGACTGTCCATGAAGGAATTCATAAGGAGATAAGCATAGGATGTTTTTTCATCTGAAACAGCTAAAGAATTTTACAAACGTGTTGTATGTACAGGAATTGCTTAACCCAGTACTGATATGCAGTCACCAATTAGATGGAATATGACAAATGTTCTGTGCAAGCTACAAGGTTTACCCACAAAAAAGGAAATAATTAAAAATTACAATGGGCATATTACGTTTATAGAATGTAATGGGAAGGGGACTAATTTTAGTGGGTTAAATACATTTTCCTTCTTCAAAATTTGTTTTAATCATAGGTTTACTGGAAGAACTATCAAGAATGTAATCAACATGGGCTCTTATAACTACCTCGGCTTTGCAGAAACAGATGCCAATGCTTTGAAAACAGTGGCAGATGATTTACAGAAATATGGGACAGGAGTGTGCAGCACCAGACAAGAAATGGGTAAGCGGAGCAAACTGCAACATTTCTGCCAAGATTTCTATTGTTATGTGGTTTGTTTTACAGATGTCCTGAAGGAACTGAAACGTTGTAAGGTTCTACGCTGCCTGACGCTTAGTTGCTGGACAATTAAAATGAGCATTAATTACCTTATAAAGTTTTTTCAAAAAATAGGAAAAGAATCCGAATGTGCTTTGGAAAAGTGTAAGAGAAATGAACACTCCCAGCCACCCATTATGGCTTTTCATTGTTTATAAAGAAAAGCATGAGGGAGCAAACAGCCAACAGGACTTAAAGAAATTTTCTTGTGAAGGAGATCAAACTGCAGAATATTTATTCTCAAAATGCACCTTAGATCTCTGCTGCTGTCCCATTCAGTGACATGAATGTTTTAACCGAAAATATAGTGCAGGGTGTCATGAGAAATGTACACACACCAATGATCATTATGACACAAAATGTCCAGTGTGCTTGTTAAAAAAAAAAAAGGAGTAGTGGGGGGATCCTGTGGAAGCCTTCCCTAGCTTTCTTATCAAAATGTCTTTTCAGAATATACTGCTTGTTTTGTTTGTACACTGCATTTGTTGCTATTTTCAGTTATGTACAATATACCAGTTTAAAGCTGCACTTATAATAATCCAAGTAGGCTCATGTTCAAAGGAAGTAGCCTTCAGCCATGGAAATTACATTTTCTGCTTTCCAGCTTTAGCTGAGCTGGTGACAGCTAAGGCAAAGGAGACAGTCTTTCCCAGTCTATGAATGCAATAACATTCTTTAGTGAAAGTATATCAAGATTGTGTCAGGTGGTTTTTCATCTGTTTTGCTAGTGGCATGTCCATTGTGACATACCTCTACTCCGAAACTAATATTAAAGGTTATTTTTATTTTCTATATGGGCAACTCTTTCAATATGTTTTCAGTTAGAAGCAAAATTACTGAGAAAGAAAACCTTCTATTTGTAATATGTCCATGTTACTGCCAGACTGCCTGGGTTCTCCCTGTAGCTGTCCACAAGTGCTCTGAACTAAAGATTTCTTTAAGCAGTAATCTGCAAGTGAAATGGAAAATCTAGTCATTGTTCATTCCTTCCATTTCAAATTCTCAAATGCTTGTATGTCTAGTCTGTACTGCAGGTTGTCATTTACCTAAATGCTTAAAGCTTTAACAAAGCAGATAGATGGAATATATTGCCATTGATCATTTGTTAAAAACAGAGATGCATAACTACTTTGCTCCACATCATGTTATTTTCCAGTTAACAAGACAGCAACAGACCCAAAAGCAGTATTGCCCAATGTTTGCAGGGTTGGAGGTTACACTATAAATAAATCTTTTTTTTTTTGTATAAGTGCCAGTCAAAAAAGATGAATTAGTACCTGACTCAATTATCAGTAGGGACCAACTGAATTTGCAATTTTGTGGATTTCGCAGATTCCACAAAATCCGGGCAATGCCTGTGGAATCCGCAAAATCCATGGGGAAAAAAACCTACACCAAAAATAAATGCAGACTCCCCAGAAGGAACTAGCAGTCCTTAACCTGTTACAGTAGTCTGCTGGGATGGGTAAGGGAGAAGGGACCTGCCCACTTGAAGAGCTGCTCACAAGATGGCTGCCACCCCCACTGCTGATTGGCTGTGAGGGCTGCCTGTCATGTGGCCCTGCCCCTCTCCACCAATCAGCAGCAAGGGGCAGGGCCACATGACAGGCAGCCCCCATAGCCAATCAGCAGAGAAGGGCAGGGCCACTGGGGCACATTGGCCAATCAGAGGCATGGGGGGCCTGCTGTGCTCTGCCCACAAAATGGCTGCTGGGGCCCACCTTCTGCCTGTGAAATTGGGGGGCAGCCCCTGTAAATTAGGTAGATCCCTAATCTATAAAGCCTCTTTGCTTTCCTGATTGTTTGGAGAGGGATAGCCTTTGGGAATTGTGTTATTGTGTTTGCAACACAGGCTCCAGCAGATGTTACACTTAAGATGTGATTAATTGGTTAAGTAGTCATAAGTCATGACCTGGCCACATATTCTTTCAATTAAAGGCATGATAAGAAGAAGAATAACTATGTGTAATAACTTTGTGGCTGGTTTCTATTATGCTTTTAATTGAATATGTGACCAGTGCTCCCAGCCTTTGGAGTACACAGGAGCCTTTCAAGACTCCCATGTGCTCCCACAGCTGGGAGCACCCCTCAGCTGGTCAGAGCTCCCAGCCAAGAGTACAACATGCACTAGCTGGGAGCCAAGCTTGCTACTTGCTGGTAAAGGGGAAACCCAGGATCTGGCTTCCCCTGCACAGGCAATATAATAACAGATGACAGAACAAGAAGTAATGTTCTCAAGTTGCAGCAAGGGAAGTTTAGCTTAGGTATTAGGAAAAACTTTCTCACAAGGAGGGTAGTAAATCACTGGAAGAGGTTACCCAGAGAGATGGTGAAATCTTCATCCTTGGAGGCTTTTACGACCTGACTAGACAAAGCCTTGCCTGGGATGATCTACTTGGGAATAGTCCTGCTTTGAGCAGTGGGTTGGACTAGATGACCTCCTGAGGTCCCTTCCAGTCTCATTTTCTTTGATTCTATGAATAGGGTGCAATGGGATCTGATGCAGGATCTCACAATCATGACTCCTGCCAGGTCCATGTGTCATGGCAGGAAGTGCAATTGTTGGGATCTCATGTCAGATCCCATTGCACCTCTACTTTAATATCTGTGAGGGGCGACAGGAAAATAAAACAAAGACATGCTTTCCACATCAGAAAGAGGACTTAAATCACTTTTCTAAAGGTATTTGATAATAAATAATTTTATCTCATGAAACATTGAATATTGTATCTTGAGTTGTTGCTAGTGGCCTTCTATAGGGGCATTAGTGATTGATTATGGTGATCATAATAAAGGGTCACAATTATAGACCCTCCATGAAACCAGTGTTAGGAACCTGACCCTTATTTGATCAATCTCCCCACTCATAAGAGCAGACTCAGGAATTTTCACTTGTTTGTTTTGGACTGTGTTGAACTGATTCGTCTTTTGTTTTCATGAGCCAAAGTATGAAGTGGAAATAAATCCTTTGAAATGAATCATAAGTTAGCAATTATCTACCATAACTTATCATCTGGGGTCAGAACTACATCTCCTGTTTCCCTTGAACTCTCTTGACTAGGGATATTTTCATGCAATGTGCTTGAAGTTGTTTAAGTATTTTAGTATTCACAAGCCTTTGCCCTTTTGATCACGCACCATTTTATCAGAATAGTCTGATTTGATTTTAATCCCTTGTTTGAACTCAGTGTTACATTCCAGACTGTTGTTCTCCCTTGAAGAAATGTCCCTGATAAATTAAAACCCATCCTCTCTCTTTCCTTGAACAAACTGTTTATACTCTTCATATGAATATATGAAGTCAAATAATCCACCACAACAGCTTATTTAATTAAATATCTAGGAGATAAATGCATTGTACACAACTTCTAAGGACACTGGAAAAACCATACTGAGCCCAGTATTTTTGTATCTCTCAGGGCAGAAATAGATATCACCTGATGTCACATTTGTTCCAGTGACACAAATGATGAGGAAATCCTTTGTCACACCAGATCAAAATATTGCCACTATTATTCATGTGCAATAGTGTAAAATAGTGCTACTTTATTGCAGCAGACATCTATTTGCTCTGTGGTGGGAGAGTGCAGGCAGCCCGGAGCTGCCTGCACTCTCCAGCCCTACCAGGCAGGTGATCCAAGGGATTGAGGGGCCTGATCCTGAATAGGCATTCTTGTGCAGGATCAGGCCCCTCAAACCAACCCCAGGAGAGCCTTTGAAGCACAGACACAGGTTGGCATAAGTCCCAGCAAGGAAATGCAGGGCGGGACAGAACCCAGGGAATTTTCACTGCCTTATGTCTCCACACCAAGGCATACTTACCCAATGCCTCCACATGCATCACAGGCAGTCATTGGACCCAACACAGGCCCCAGCCTGGAGGCACAGAGCTCTGGAGATTCCCTGAGTTCTGTGTCACCCTGTGTTGACCCACGCCTCCGCAGGATCTAGCACAAGAATCCTGGCCAGGAGGCATGGACAGCAAGGGAAACCCCAGGCAAAGGGAACACATTGTCCGTTGTCCTGCATTGGACCGCTGCCCAATACACAGCAACGGATGGCATGTTTTGCCCAATAAAGTGGATCATCTGTGGCAGACACAGCTGAGCCACTTTGTTTGTGGCAATGTCTGTTTTTATCCTCAGGGGCAGAATGGATGCTAAAAGAAAGAGGCTTTGCATAAGATCTATCCAGGTAGACCTGACCCCTCACACCCGACCTACCCTACAGGTTCTAGCTTTCAGAAGACTATGACTCTTAATTTTGGAGTTTGAACCCATTCATCTGCATGTCTGTGGTGAGGAACTTTTTTTTTTTAACTGTTCCATAAAACATCCTTATTTTTTTTTTATCACCAAAATCATTGTCATAAGCCTGTCCATAAAATTTCTGACCCTGAAGTGACAAAATTTCAATTTTTCTCTGTGGCTGGACTAAAGTATTTGCAGTATAAATACAATTAAGTATAAGACCCAAAAGCATTGTCTGCAGTCCCAGTCTAGGGACAGCACTTAAATGTGATATAACCATATGTATATTAATGTCAAGTACATGATTTGTACTTGCATGTACAAACATATTTAAGTATCTTGCATGTTCAGGGTCTTAATTAGTAAGAACTCCTCCTAAATAATGATTGACCTCTGAATAAAAAAGAGCTGTTCAGTTCTTGCAGAAGCCTAGGAGAGATGGAGAGAGATAGGGAAGAAAAAAACCCAATTACAGTAGTCACATTAAAAACAAACAAAAACAACAAATACAATCAATAATGCAGTATAATCTGGGCCTTATTTCCTTTGCTTTAATACCTTGTATCGTCAATTTATAGCCTTGCAATATACTGAGTGAATGTAAATGCTCTCATATTATATAAGGATTCTTCACTTGTTTTGCTTTGGGGAAGT